ATGGCGAGGAGTGCAGTGTGGGGAGTCTGGGAGAGAGCATGTGCTGAGTGGGGAGGAGGCAGTGCTGGGGAGATTCAGTGGGGAGGAGGCCATGATGGGGAGAGTGCCAGTGGGGAGGCTGATGGGGAGAGTGCCAGTGGGGAGGAGGCCATGATGGGGAGAGTTTCAATGGGGAGGAGGCAGTGCTGGGGAGAGTGCCAGTGGGGAGGAGGCCATGGGGAGAGTGCCAATGGGGAGGAGGCAGTGATGGGGAGAGTGCCAGTGGGGAGGAGGCCAATTGAGTGGGGGAGAGTTTCAATGGGGAGGAGGCAGTGCTGGGGAGAGTGCCAGTGGGGAGGAGGCCATGATGGGGAGAGTTTCAATGGGGAGGAAGGCAGTGCTGGGGAGGTGCCAGTGGGGAGGAGGCATGATGGGGAAGAGTTTCAATGGGGAGGAGGCAGTGCTGGGGAGAGTGCCAGTGGGGAGGAGGCCATGATGGGGAGAGTGCAATGGGGAGAGGCCAGCTGGGGAGAGTGCCAGTGGGGAGGAGGCCATGATGGGGAGAGTTTAATGGGAGGAGGCAGTGCTGGGGAGAGTGCCAGTGGGGAGGAGGCCATGATGGGGAGAGTTTCAATGGGGAGGAGGGCAGTGCTGGGGAGAGTGCCAGTGGGGAGGAGGCCATGATGGGGAGAGTTTCAATGGGGAGGAGGCAGTGCTGGGGAGAGTGCCAGTGGGGAGGAGGCCATGATGGGGAGAGTTTCAATGGGGAGGAGGCAGTGCTGGGGGAGTGCCAGGGGGAGGAGGCCATGATGGGGAGAGTTTCAATGGGGAGGAGGCGTGCTGGGGAGAGTGCCAGAGGAGAGGGCCATGATGGGGAGAGTTTCAATGGGGAGGAGGCAGTGCTGGGGAGAGTGCCAGTGGGGAGGAGGCTATGATGGGGAGAGTTTCAATGGGGAGGAGGCCATGATGGGGAGATCATTAATGGGAGGAGGCAAAGCTGGGGAGACCATCAAAAGAGAGGAGGCAAAGCTGGGGGAGAATATCAATGACCAGGAGGCAATGCTGGGGAGACCATCCATGGCGAGGAGGCCTCCACGGATCAATTAGGCTGAGCCTACGGAAGTACCATTGGAAGTTACGCAGGCTACTTATGGTAATGCCGGAAATCATGAATCGCGTAAGACAGGATACGTTCTGCTTACGGCTTTCTTTCTTTGTGTGTGCTTTCCTGAGCGTGTCCGGGAGAGGAGGAGGCCTATATCGCCGCATGCATCTGGCCTGCAGCATCCCCATCGAACACAGAAATCGATACCTGCGAGCCACGAACAAAAATGGTTGATCATTCCCGTCAAAGTTATTCCCCACACATTGGTAATGCAATTATGCAAATCAAAGCGACACCCGTAATCTATATACTGAGGCTAATAATAGGAGCCCATGCCATTAGGGTCACAATACCATGATGGACTGGTGTCCCATACGCAAGGTAGTTTTAACCCCTCCGACAGAGAGGAAATTGAAGTGATAGCTTAATTTTGCTGGTACTTTCTTGAGAGAGAGAGAGAGAGAGAGAGAGAGAGAGAGAGAGAGAGAGAGAAGAGAGAAGAGAGTGAGAGAGAGAGAGAGAAGAGAGAGAGAGAGAGAAGAAAAAGAGAAAGAAGTGAGAAGAGAGAGAGAGAAAAAAGAGAAAGAGTGATGAGAGAGAAAAAGAAAAGAAGCGAGAGAGAAAAAAGAAGAAAGAGAAGAAAAGGAGAAAGAGTGAGAGAGAGAGAAAAGAGAAAGAGAGTGAGAGAGAGAGGGAAAATAGAGAAAATGGAGAGTGAGAGAAGAGAAGAAGAAAAGAAGAAAGAAAATGAAGAGAGAAAAGAGATAGAGAAGTGGAAGAGAAGAGAGAAGAAGAAAGAGAGGTGAGAGAGAGAGAGAGAGAAAAGAGAAAGAGAGTGAGAGAGAGAGAGAGAGAAAAGAGAAAGGAGGAGTGAGAAAGAGAGAGAGAAGAGAAAAGAGAGTGAGAGAGAGAGAAAAAGAGAAAAGAGAGTGAGAAGAGAGAGAAAGAAGAAAGAGAGTGAGAGAAGAGAGAAAGAGAAAGAAGGAAAGTGAGAGAGAGAAAAGAGAGTGAGGAGAGAGAGAAAAAAAGAAAGAGAGTGAGAAGAGAGAGAGAAAAGAAAGAAGAGTGAGAGAGAGAAAAAAGAGAAAGAGAGTGAGAGAGAAAGAAAGAGAAAGAGAGGGAGAGAGAGAGAGAAAAGAGAAAGAGAGTGAAGAGAGAGAAAAGAGAAAAGAGAGTGAGAGAGAGAAAAAGAAAGAGAGTGAGAGAGAGAAGAGAGAGAGAGTGAGAGAAGTGAGAGATAGAAGAGAGAAGAGAGAAGAGAGAAGAGAAGAGAAGAGAAGAGAAGAGAGAGAGAAGAGAAGAGAAGAGAAGAGAAAGAAGAGAAGAGAAGAAAGAGAAAAGAGAAGAGAAGAGAAAGAAGAAGAGAAGAAGAAAGAAATAGAAGAGAAGAGAAGAGAGAGAGAAAAGAGAAGGGGG